CAGCAGGTTTCAGAAGGGACTCACAGCTCCTTTTCCTTATTTCCACGTCTGCTCAGGCCTCCTGCATCTGTAAACTCAGTGGTGTGACTTTCCATCCTTTCTCCTTCATGCTCCTCATTCAGTTATTACAAATCCTGAAGTTCATCCTCAGCCTCTTCACTCATAGCCTTTCTGCTTCCTCCACTATTTTGAGCCATTTCTTTCTGGCCATGCCTGAATGCTGTTTTCACGTTGGAGCCATGTTGTCTTTGTAAAATCACAGTCAACAAGTCCAATCACTGGCTTAGAACCCTGGAGTGGTGGCTCTTACTTCAGCTAGGCCTGGTCAGCTAACTTGATGTGGTCATCCCTCCCTCAGCAGCTCTTTTCCAAACTCTAGCTTCCTATGCCCTAGTCTTCTGGATCTTTGTCAGTCTCCTGGGTGGCACAACCCACTTTATGATGGCTGAGTTTTCTTGTTCAGTGAGGCAGTGAGCTAGACCTCATTTGTTACTCATGCCAATAGCCAACTCAGATCTTGGCACTTGAGAAAAATTTTTGGAATGAAAGTAAACCAGTTACATCTACATTGTGGTTTTCTTCAAAAGGCAGCCTTGTTATTTCCCTTAGGAACTCAAATCTAGTGAGTTCTTTTTCAGTTTACCAAAGCCTTTTTTTTTTTTTTTTTTGAGAGATTTTTGTTATAGGGCATGTGCACTCACTGGAGAGACAGAGAAAGACAGAAAGCAAGAAATTACCCCTCCCCCTCCAGAAGGAATGGCCATGCCACAATCCCTTCTTCTCCATTCTCTCAGGATTTCTCACTGGTATTTATTTTGCTGCACACAGAAAAAGACTTTTAAAAGGGCCAGCTAGGTGGCATAGTAGGTAAGGTGGATCCCACATGGCCAACTATGTGGTTCAAGTCTTGACCTGGTGACTCAAAGAACATGCATGCCTAAAATTCCAAGAGGAGAATAGAGGAGAAGTGATTTGGTGTGGTCATTCCTCATGGGGGATGGTTTCTTATTTTCTCTCTCTCACTGTCTGTCTCTCTCTGGTGAGCACACTTGCACTATAGCAAATCGAAAAACAAAAAGACACCTTAAATATTCTTATTTCATATACTTTAAAATGAATGTCCGTCACATTGTTGATCATGAAATTAAACTGATAGTTTTGGGCATGCACATACAAGTACCTGGTGTGAGTTTCAAGCCTCCTGATCCAGGACTCGAACCATAGTTGACCATGTGGGAGTCCAGTGACATAACTATTATGCCATCTGCTGGTGCCAGCCAAAGCCATTTTTTTTTTTTGGGGAGTTTGTTTTTTTTTTTTTTTTGCTATAGGGCACGTACGCTCACCAGAGAGAGAGAGACAGAGAGACAGAAAGTGAAAAATCACCCCCTGGGGGGATAGCCACACCGCATTCCCTTCTCCTCCATTCTCCTCTCAGGATCTTGGGCACGCACGCACATGCGCCCGGCGTGAGTTTAAGCCACCGGGCCCGGTACTCGAACCACAGTCGACTACATGGGAGTCCAGCGACATAGCCATTATGCTAACTGCTGGTCCCACCACTTTTGACTAAGGCTTGTTGCCTGCTCTAATAAAAGAGCACTATCCCTTTCCCTATCCATTCTTGCTGTCTTCTGTGATTGGATGGGGCACATTTTCTATCTCCCAGCGTCCATGATCTCTTGCTCTATGCCTCAGAGTTAGGCATTTAATTGTCTCCTTAACAAGAATATTATATACAGTGTGTTCTCAAGAATATTACTAGTGGTTTCGTCCCTCTTCTTCATCAGGCTGTCTGAGAAAGCTGACTGACTGACCTGAGCTCTAGCTTCCTAATCAGTGAAATGGGCATCATGATGTTTGCCTGCACTACTGCTCAGTGTGGTTGTGATTGTCAAGTCAGAAGATAGCCAGGAAAAACCTCCGTAGAGGATAGAGTGATATGTAAATATGAGGTGGTATTATTAGGAGGAAATTGATTATAAAGGTTCTCTCATTTCACTATGAGTCAATAACACAAAAGTTCTGACCCCTTAGATTGAAAGAGGAAATGTGGATGGTACAGAGCGAATGATCCTGGTACACCATCTTTCCCACCCCTGGGGAATCGCTGTCCATGATTCCTTCCTGTATTACTGTGATGAACAGTATGAGGTCATTGAAAGAGTTGACAAGGCTACTGGGGCCAACAAAGTCGTTTTGAGAGATAATGTTCTCAATCTGAGGACCCTTCGAATTTATCACAGACGCAGTAAGTATTTGTCACTGAAACACATTCATGGGTGTATGATGTATAGTCATACATCTGCACACTTACATCTGTATGCTCATGCTCACACATAGACCTATCCACATACATGTGCACACAAATTAAAATGACCTCAAATATTTAAATTATGTAACCATGTCTTAAAGAGGGTTAAGTGTCAAAGGCTAATCTGGCATCTGATAGACCACCTTGGCTTCAGAGTGAGCTTATTTCTATTCTTTTCCCAAAACATTTAACTTCTTCCTTTGCTTTTGCTTCATAACAATCCCTGACATATTTTCTGTATTCCTTCTTAGAATATAAGCTTCATGAGGGCAGTCAAAATGCCTGCCTTGTTTACTGCTCTATACCCAGTAACCAGAATAGTGCCTGTCAGGGTAGACATTTTAATTTTGAAGGAACACTCTTAGATATTGCTTGTTACACTTATTTTCTCAGAGATAATCTAAATTTTGATTTTCCCCTTAGCATTATGCATTAGCATTATGACATAAAGATTACTTTTTATAGTTTTGACATTTTATAGTTTATAATCCTTAACCAAAGACTATCAAATAATTCACCTCCTCTCCCATGACCTAGGTTTCTCACTGGTGTTTATTTTGCTGCACATAGAAAAAGATCTTTTAAAGGGGCCAGCTAGGTGGCATAGTAGATAAGGTGGCTGGATCCCACATGGCCAACTATGTGGTTCAAGTCTTGACTTAGTGGCTTGAAGAACATGCATGCCTAAAATTCCAAGAGGAGAATAGAGAAGTGATTTGGTGTGGTCATTCCTCATGAGGGATGGTTTGTTATTTTCTCTCTCTGTCTGTCTCTCTGGTGAGCACACTTGCACTATAGCAAACTGAAAAACAAATAGACCCCTTAAATATTCTTATTTCATATACTTTAAAGCAAATGTCTGTCACATTATTGATCATGAAATTAAACTGATAGAATTTTAAGTACCAGTGCATTGGTTGAGAGAGCAAATAATGGACAGATTTATATAATCATCTCCATAATCCTTGCATGATTTGTAGAAGGAAAACAATAAAGGCCCATTCCCTATTATATAATAGCTATAGTACTGATATAATACATTTAGCTGTTATCATGTAAGCCCTAGTCTCTCCAATATTGTTTCCAAGTTGTTAACTCACTTATTATATGTTTGTTAATTTTTATAATGAATTGTTTTAAATTCTAATTTTAAGAATTTGAGATGGCAAGTAGGTAGGGTTAAAAGTTACACACTGGCCTAGCCACAGTAGCACAGCCATGGTGCCATCTGTGCAATGCTGGAAGCCATATGGAAGATTGGGATTTGGTTCCTGGGTTGACCTCTACACAGCTAGAGTATGTGCATAAGCAAGTGAACCTGGTTGGCCAGGAAGGCTCAGGAGAGGACTGCAGTTTAAGACCTTGTTGGGGGTGATTGTTTCTGTCTTCCACTCTTTCTCTCTTTGAAGAAAGAAATAATTTTTTTTTTTAATTTCATTCAGGCATTGCTGAATTTTCAAATGGCTGTAGCAACAACGTGAATGCCTGTGAGCAGATTTGCCTGCCTGTACCAGGAGGATTGTTCTCCTGTGCCTGTGCCACTGGATTTAAACTCAATCCTGATAATCGGACCTGTTCTTCATATAAGTCTTTCATTGTTGTTTCGATGATGTCTGTAGTCAGAGGCTATAGCTTGGAAATGTCAGATCATTCAGAAGCCATGGTGCCAGTGGCAGGCCAAGGTATGTCGATTCTAAAATAAGTAAGATTTGACTCCATCTAGTGCCAAGTACAAATCTTTGGTGCCATAAAAGCATTTTTTCATCTTTGGCTTTAGCACATATTGAAGCTTGTCTCCCTTTAAGTAAACTCAACATAGAATGGTTCTCAAACTTGAGTGTTCATCAGAAACACTTGAAGCCTATTAAACAGAGATCTTTCCTCCATCCACAGATTCTTCCATCTTAATAGTTTGGGGCAGGGGCAGAGAACTTCATTACAAACAAATTCCCAGGACATGCTGATATTGCTGGCCTGTGGACTCCATTGAGAACCACAGGTTTAGAACAGAATAGGATGTAGTGGGACTTTGCAGGAGTATTGCAGAGCTGGTGTTCAGGAGAAATATTTCTGACCATTTGTGGATATTTAGGGCAGAGGGCATTCTACTTACTATTTAATAAGGTACTAAAGAGGCCACAGATACAATTTCTTAATGTACATTTGATGAATTGAAGTGAAAGAGTTCATGCTATTAATCTGTCCTTACTACTTCTGCAGTGCTTCATGGTTGCATACAGTGCTTGTAAAAATGATAACTTGTCTCTTAGTGAACCAAGGTTTTTAGGTGCTCATGGCTACAAGAGGATCTAAACATTCAGTAGCAGCCAGAGCTATTTGTTATGGGGAATAATATACTATTTAGAAACCAAGGTCTGGGTTGTGCTGTGTTTATTGCAATGGGGAAACAAGAGTATTGTCTGGTAACAATGGGATGACCACAGCAAGGGACTGGACTGCAGGTTTGAGAGAAAGGACAGACATTTAAAAGTTCTTAGAACATCCCGTCTAGAACATTGTTTAATGATCTTTTCTTAAACATTCTAGGACGAAATGCACTGCATGTGGATGTTGATGTAGCCTCTGGCTTTATTTATTGGTGTGACTTTAGCAGCTCTGTGGCATCTCGTAATGCTATCCGTAGAATTAAACCAGATGGGTCTTCTTTTACAAACATAATTACATATGGAATTGGAGTAAACGGAGTCCGCGGTATTGCAGTGGACTGGCTGGCAGGTATGTAAGCTATGTAGCCGTTTTATTGAAGAGCCGTTTTGCATTTGTTTCTCTGTCATCTCATTTTGTTAGAGAGTTTAGCCTAGCTATAGGTGCAACAAATTTGTTTTTGTAGACATTTATTGAGATCATTTGAGATAAATAGAGTTGTGCATTTAGATTAACCTATGTCTATTAGATAAATGAAAGGTATTTTAGTTGACAGATTCATAATAGATTAATCATCTCATTTTATTGTATTATTAACATAATAGAAATTATAGACAAAAATGGCTAGAAGATAATAAATTATGTGGATTTGCTTTATCACACTTAGATTCACACCTGATTTCTTAATTTAAAGATGTCTAAGTTTTCAGAGAAAGGGATACTAAAATGTAATGTGAGCCATAAAATAATATTCATTTACTTTAAAGCTCCGAGCTCTTTTCATTGCCAAATTTTTAGTTGCTTCCTCTTGGTAACATATAAAATTCCTTTTTTTATATTAATTTAATTGTATTGATTCATACACTTCAGTGTGAATTACCATGCATTTTTAAATGATATGCTGGAAAATAAATGTATTATAATTTTGGGGATGTAATCTAATTCTATACAAAATAGATATAATATGTCCTTTCAAGCTTGGCATGTATATATCCACTAGAAATATTATTGTATATTATGAAAATCTAGGTACTATAGTAAGTTTATTGTATATAGCAAGTATAGTACTATGGTTAAATAAGACTTTGTTTGGGTTTCTAAATCTGAGTCTTGATTACAAATGTACTATTCTTAAGGATGGAGAGATAAAGCAGAGGTTAGGAAACTATGTAGCTTAGAGTCTGTTTTAGCTGGGACCAGCAGTTGGCATAATGGCTATGTCGCTGGACACCCATGTAGTGGACTATGGTTCAAGTCCTGGACCCGGTGGCTTAAACTCACGCCCAGTATATGTGTGTGCATGCCCAAGGTCCTGAGAGGAGGATGGAGGAGAAGGGATTGTGGTGTGGTCATCCCCCCCCCGCCAGGGGGTGATTTCTTGCTTTTCGTTTGTTTCTGTCTTTCTGGTGAGCACACGCACCCTATAGCAAAAACTTCTCAAAAAAAAAAAAAAAAAAGAGTCTGTTTTAGTTAATAAAGTTTTACTGGAACACAGCTATACTTATTCATTTGTGCATTATCTGTGACTGCTTTCATGTTACAATGGCCTTGTGAAAGAATGCATGCACTCTGAAAGACCTAAAATATTTGCTGTCTGGCTTTTACAGAAAAAGTTTGCCAACTCTTTATTAAAGGATTGGATATATATAAAACAAATAGAGATAGATAATGAAAAAATATATCAGTAACATACTTTATATTGAACTGATTTCTGTAGAGATATTTCAGTCAGATACAGAAACAAAATATGTGTAGCAGTATTGATAATTCACTAACAGACTATCTACTCTATGAAATCAGTAACTTAGGATACTTTCTTTCTTTCTTTCTCTCTTTTTTTTTTTTTGAGTGGTTTTTGCTATAAGGCGCATGCGCTTGCCAGACAGAGAGACAGAAAGTGAGAAATCACCCCCCAGGGGGGATGGCCATGCTGGAGCACACGCACCCTATAGCAAAAACTTCTCAAAAAAAAAAAAAAAAGAGTCTGTTTTAGTTAATAAAGTTTTACTGGAACACAGCTATACTTATTCATTTGTGCATTATCTGTGACTGCTTTCATGTTACAATGGCCTTGTGAAAGAATGCATGCACTCTGAAAGACCTAAAATATTTGCTGTCTGGCTTTTACAGAAAAAGTTTGCCAACTCTTTATTAAAGGATTGGATATATATAAAACAAATAGAGATAGATAATGAAAAAATATATCAGTAACATACTTTATATTGAACTGATTTCTGTAGAGATATTTCAGTCAGATACAGAAACAAAATATGTGTAGCAGTATTGATAATTCACTAACAGACTATCTACTCTATGAAATCAGTAACTTAGGATACTTTCTTTCTTTCTTTCTCTCTTTTTTTTTTTTTGAGTGGTTTTTGCTATAAGGCGCATGCGCTTGCCAGACAGAGAGACAGAAAGTGAGAAATCACCCCCCAGGGGGGATGGCCATGCTGCAATCCCTTCTCCTCCATTCTCCTCTCGGGATATTGGGCATGCACGCACATGCACCCAGCGTGAGTTTTAAGCCACCGGGTCCGGGACGCGAACCGCAGTTGACTACATGGGAGTCCAGCGACATAGCCATTACGCTAACTGCTGGTCCCACTTAGGATACTTTCTATTCATTATACTATCATTATAGCATTGCCTCTTTATTCTAGCTTTTATATTGTGTTATAATGCCCAAAGGGAATGAAGTGTTTTGTGACTTTTAGGAAGTCTATGGAGGGAAAACAACTACATTAGTTAGAAAGACTAGGAAAAGACCTCAAGTTAATCTTAAATAAAAAGAGCACTTGATAAGGTTGTTACCTGGGATGTTGCTGGCTCTCTCTCTTTCCTACTTATATCATGTTGAAGTAGAAGTTGTAATGTCGTATATTTAGTCTTTGAAGTAGGTGTTAAACATTTAGTGCTTCAAGTAGAAAAGAAAGGAGATTCTGGAAATAGATCTTTCAGCTCTGATGTTTGCTATGAATTCTAATCTGCTTTAGAAGCTGAAGATAGACACATTCTCTCTAAATTTGAAGAAAGAATCAACTTAGTTCCTCAAAACAAATATTTTTCTAAGTGTAAACTGAGATTTATTAAGCCAAATATACAGACCCAAACCAAAATTTTGTGCTCAATTTGAAAATGTGACCCTTTTGTCTGCTTGGTTTTCCATCAGTATGCTCTCTCATTTTCCTGTAGGAAATCTTTATTTCACCAATGCCTTTGCATCTGAAACTCTGATAGAAGTTCTGCGGATCAATACCACTTACCGCCGTGTTCTCCTTAAAGCCACAGTCGATATGCCTCGGCATATTGTTGTAGACCCCAGGAACAGATACCTCTTCTGGGCTGACTATGGGCAAAAACCAAAGATTGAACGATCGTTTCTTGACTGTACCAATCGAACTGTGCTTGTATCAGAGGGCATCGTCACACCACGGGGCTTGGCAGTGGACCATAGCAATGACTACATTTATTGGGTCGATGATTCTTTAGATATAATTGCAAGGATCCGTTTTGATGGAGAGGGATCTCAAGTGATTCGTTATGGCAGTCGTTACCCAACTCCTTATGGCATCACTGTTTTTGGAAATTCTATTATATGGGTAGATAGGAATTTAAAAAAAATCTTCAAAGCTAGCAAGGAACCAGGAAACACAGAGCCACCAACAGTGGTAAGAGACAATCTCAATTGGCTAAGAGATGTGACCATCTTTGACGAGCAGGTCCAGCCTCGATCACCAACAGAGGTGAACAACAACCCTTGTTTGGAAAATAATGGTGGATGCTCCCATCTCTGTTTTGCTCTGCCTGAATTGCACACCCCAAAATGTGGCTGTGCCTATGGAACCCTGGAAAGTGATGGCAAGAGCTGTGCCATTTCAACAGAAAATTTCCTTATCTTTGCCTTGGATAATTCCTTGAGAAGTTTACACTTGGACCCTACAGACCATAGTCTGCCTTTCCAAGCAATAACTGTGGAAAGAACTGCCATTGCTGTGGTCTATGACAACATAAATAATAGAATCTACTTCACACAAAATTTAGACTCTGAACATGGTCAGATTTCCTATGTCAGCCTGAATTCAGAGATCCATTCTCCAACTGTCATTGTTTCAGGTAAGTGTACTCCAGGTACAGTTTACCTTGGGAGTAGCTACATGGGGTCAACACATGTGGATGACTGAGTGTCTCTAGTACACCTTGAGACTCTAACACCTTTGCATGTGTGTCCAGATATAGGGACTGCTGATGGCATTGCCTTTGACTGGATCAATAGGAGAATTTATTACAGTGACTACAACAACCAGACAATTAATTCCATGGCTGAAGATGGTTCTATGCGCACTGTGATAGCCCGCGTCTCAAAGCCAAGAGCAATTGTGTTAGACCCCTGCCGCGGGTATGCCAAGGGTTTCTTTATTATTTCTGTCTGCTTGTTATTGGAAGGAGTGGGGCCTGAAGTTATTTTATGTTCATAATATCAACATTTTAAGAGCTTTTAACACTATGGCCATAGATTCAAGGATGAAAGAGTATCAGGTGATTTTACCTGGGAGGGGGCAGGGTATAACTCCATTTGATGATAAAGATTGTCAGTGTACTGGGAAGTCAACGATCTGACTCAGTGTATCTCTTTTAAGCAAATTCTGGAGGTAGAAATGGAGCAGGGTTCCCCTCCCCCCATTTTGACGACAGTTGGCAATTAAAGAATGCTACCATTTGTTTTTAAGTAAAAAGGACTATGAATTAACTATGACTCCTTTTGGATAACTAGGTTCCTGTACTGGACAGACTGGGGAACTAATGCCAAAATCGAGAGAGCCACACTGGGAGGAAATTTCCGGATGCCTATTGTGAACAGCAGTCTGGTCTGGCCCAGTGGGCTTGTTCTGGACCATGAGGATGACCTTCTGTACTGGGCGGATGCTAGTCTGTACGTGTCTTTGGTTAGCATTTGGTTATTCATAAGAAGAGTTCTTTTTCCACTTCTAAAGAAGAGGGATTTGTGCAACCTGATGAAACATAATATGTCAGATAGAAGTTGCTAAATGTTGAATCATAGTTTTAGGAACTGTATTGTATTCTATCTTGGTGAACATACATGTAAAAATGAATTTATGTCATGAGATTGAGTAATTTTAAACTAAACAACATCTAAAGATCCATGCTATATACATCTATAATTTTAGCTATATTTATAAATTACTCAGTTTATAATCTACAGGCCCCAGGTAACTTCATAAAATAAGAACTCTTAAATGGATCCTGATATTAAAGTTTTCTTTAGGGAGGGACTTCAGCATTCAGTGTCTTATTAAAAATACCTTTCTTTAGTCTTTGACTTTTGGCTATCTTCTCAGATTATTTCTTCTTTGGTAAACTTCTCAGCAAATTTCATGTTTCTTTATAAACTTTTGTCAGCTTTAATTTTGTGTGTAACTTCTCCAAGTAATCCCCAAATGTCTCACTTTCTGGTCATCCCAATGGAATAGCTGAAGAGATGAAACTATTTTGCTTATTATGGCTTATGTCTTTATGTCAGGGATCTTAACTTTTCTTATTTCCTCATGATTTTGGTCTTGTGACATCAGACACCGAATATCCTAATCTTTTCTTCATTTTCTCATGTAAATGAAAGCAATAATGTTTTGTGACTAAATTTGAATTATTCAAGGTAAGCACCTCAAAGTATTCAGTATAGGTAAGAGAATAAGAAGGAAAGGTAGTAACATTTTATTGCGAGTCTGCCATGTATGGGTTCAAAACACTGAGTAAACCATTTCATAATGTTCTCCTATTTCTATTTTCAGCCTACTTCTTTTGCAGAATTACTTGTAGGTTGTATTAATATTTGGTAAATGATTTATATAGGTCATTATTTGATAAGTAACCAAGACCTCCCATTACCTGAAGAAACATTCTAGTTGCCATATGTTCCCCATCAGAACAAAGTTGGGACTTGTGTGAAGGAATGGTTAGACCCAGGCATTGGGCTACCAGTTGAAAAACTTATTCTTTCTGGATTTCAGCATATATTTGTTGGTTTATTTGTACTTCATTTTAGGCAGAAGATTGAACGCAGCAGTCTAACAGGCACAAATCGTGAAATCATTGTCAGCGCAGTCTTTCATATTTTTGGCTTGACTCTCTATGACCAGTATATCTACTGGACAGACTTTTACACCAAGAAAGTTTACCGAGCTAACAAATATGATGGGTCAGGTCAGATTGCAATGACCACAAGTATGCCTGTCCAGCCAAAGGGCATCTCCACTGTTGTGAAGAACCAGCAACAGCAGTGTAGCAATCCTTGTGATCAATTTAATGGGGGCTGCAGCCATATCTGTGTACCAGGTAAGACCTTGCCCATGAAGATAAAACTGGTAAGGGGGATGGGAGGAGTACTTAGGTCTAAAAGGTAAAATAAATAAATACATAAATAAATATCCAAATTCTCCTTGATTATCAGGTAATTTATAAAATCGATTTGAGAGGAAGATTTTCATAGTTTTTTTTTTCCCCTCTATTCTATATGAAGTCCTGTTATGAAAGTATTTTAAGTTTATCCAGCTTTATGGAGGTAGAAAGCAAGATAAGGACTTTGGCTGCCCTACTTCATGACCTGAATAGGATTCCACTAATTAGCTTACCTTCCTTATAAAATAACTTAATTTTCCTGTTTAGGAGGAATTGTTTGTAGTTAGAAATATTCTGGTGACATTTCAGAGTGTGATATTATGAGTTTCATGGTGATAACAAATTTATAGAATGATGTGCCTTTTGATTACTGCAGCTTTACAAATTTTGCCGAGAAAAGAAGTATCAGTGATATTAAACATCATAGGTAGTTGTTTAAAGATTAAGGTGAATCAAGACATTTATTAGAGTTTCCACGGCTTATCCATAGGGCGCTCAGTGTAGAAGCTGTTGCAAGTGCTGTTGCTGTTTTGGAGGGGGCAATATGAGTGGCTGTTACAACAATCTTTTTTTTTCTTTTTCTTCAGGTCCAAATGGTGTTGAGTGCCAGTGTCCCCATGAAGGTCATTGGTATCTGGCCAACAACAATAAGTACTGCATTGTGGACAATGGTCAACGGTGTAACGCATCCTTTTTCACTTGCCTCAATGGGAAATGCATCTCGAAGGAGTGGAAATGTGATAATGACGATGACTGTGGTGATGGCAGCGATGAGCTGGAAAATGTCTGTGGTGAGTTGGACTCTTAGGACAAATGTCTTTATCCCCAGTGTTTGGTACAGAATTCTGCTATGTGTAATGGGTTTGAGATGTCTGACATCCTATTAGAGTTGAAAACATTTACTCTGATACTCCAGACCACATTTCAGTATCAGTTACTGTAGTGGTTAAGAGCAAAAGCTTCAAAGCCTGGCTATGCCAGGATTGTTAACTGAATAGCTCTGGGCAAGTTACTTAACCTTCCTGAGCCTCTGACATCTCATCTGTAAAATGGGGCTTTAGCTAGGGTTCTTGTGAAGAGTAACAATACATAGAAACACCTAGTCTGGGGTGTGGTGCGTGGGACTAAGGGTTCCGATAGGAGATTGTTGTTTTATTAGTTTTTATAGTAGAAACGTCATTAATTCAAATATTTTACTGAAATCACTACTTTCTATCTGAATGAAGTGAATAAAACACAGTATACTTTTTCAGAGCATTCTGAGGTTAGTTACATTTTTTCTAGTGGGTTGTAGAGAGGCTAGGAAATGAACCGCATTTGTATGCTTTTCTGTGACTGGGATCAATTTTCAAATTGATATTATAGGAAAATGGAGTGACTTTAGTTTTTCCTTAGATATTTCATTTGTTGGAAGAAGTGTAAAACATACTGTGCTTAATTTAACTAATTTAAAGTTATCTCACTTTGCATGCAGTCCGATTTGCAGCCCTTTTTGCCTTGGAAGGTAAACTCAAAGTGTCCATTCTATTTAATTTTATCTTTTTTGAAATTAGGATGATGCTTTAATCAACATGTTTAAAAATGTTTTTTCCTCTTAGCATTCCACACCTGCCAGCCGACAGCCTTCACCTGTGCCAATGGGCGATGTGTCCAGTACCGTTATCGCTGTGATTACTATGACGACTGCGGTGACAACAGTGATGAGGAAGGGTGCCTGTTTGCTGAGTGCAATGCCACCACGGAATTCACTTGCAATAATAGAAGGTGCATACCTCTTGAGTTTGTCTGCAATGGAGTCAACAACTGCCATGATAATGAAACTTCAGATGAGAAAAATTGCCGTAAGTTAATCTTAAGTACTTAATGTTGTTGGGTCTTGAAATCTTAGGTTTTTATATAAAAATGAAGTATTCCATTTAAAAAAAATTGCTATAGGGTGCATGTGCTCGCCAGCAATGAGAGAGAGAGAGGGAGAGAGAGAGAGGAAGAGAGAGAAAGTGATAAAGCACCATGAGCACTCTGCAGACCCTTCTCCTCCATTCTCATCTTGAGATTTTTTTTTTTTTTTTTTTTCTATAGGGCATGTGCGCTCGCCAGACAGACAGAGACAGAGAGACAGAAAGCAGGAAATCACCCCTCATGGGGGATGGCCACCGGGTCCAGGACTCGAACTGCGGTCGACTACGTGGGAGTCCAGCGACATAGCCATTATGCTAACTGCTGGTCCCCTCATCTTGAGATTTTGAGTATGCATATACACATGTCTGGTGTGTTTTTCAAGCCACTGAGTCCGAGACTTGAACTATGGAGTCGGCTATGTGGGATCCAGCTGCCCTAACTGCCATCCTACCTGGCTGGCTCCCAAAATACAGTATTCATTTCAAACATAAATTCTCTTTTAATATATTCTACTAAATGGTTTTAAAACAACTTTACCTAATATTTGAATTATAAACTTAAATTGATGGATCTGTACAACCACTGGATATTTTAACTTTGAATATTTTGTCTTTGGTTTATATATCTGCTAGATTAAAAATTAATTTGATAAAATTTTTTGATTGTTTTAAAGTGTTATAAGTAATTACTGACAAATGATTATATAAGTACATTGTGGCTAATGTTTGTTTTGCAAAAAGCTATCTGGTACCACGTGAACTAAAATATTTTTTCCCTATAATTTTTCTGGTAAGTTGCTTTTTAGTTCATTGATTTTTCCAAACTTTGTGTTTTAGCATCTTAGGAAAACAAAGGAGAAGAGAGTTAAGTTCAAGTAAGATATTTTCAGTTTGGATATATCCACGTTTTGCTGCTTTTGTAGGTGGAGTAATGCAACATCTGCTGTTTTTATTTATTTGCTTTTTGCTGTAGGATATGTAAGTGAGACAGAGAGAGAGAGAGAGAGAGAGAGAGAGAGAGAGAGAGAGAGAGAGAGAGAAAATGGGTAATCACTCCCCAGGGGGGATGGCCTTGCCATGAACCCTTCTCCTTCATTCTGTCATTGAGATTTTGGGCACACGTGCACATGCGCTGAGAGGATTTTTTTTAAGCTGTTGGGTTCAGGACTTGAACTGCACAGTTGGCTGCCTTAACCTCTCCACTACCTGCTGGTCTTGGGTCTGCTCTTTATAAAAAGTTTTATCATGGAAAATTTCAAACATACGTCAAAGGAGAAAGAGTAGTACAATGTGCCCGTCAACAAGCTCCAATATTTATCAACACATGCAAATCTTGTTTCATCTCTCTCTTCCAACATGTTCTAGGACAATATTTTAAAACAACTCCTAGGCGTGGATTTCACAGAAAGACTTTCTTTTTTTTTTTTTTTTTTTAAGTTTATTTCAAAAGGAGGAGAGAGAGAGAGAGCGAGAGAGAGAGAGAGCGAGAGAGAGAGAGAGCGAGAGAGAGAGAGAGCGAGAGAGAGAGAGAGCGAGAGAGAGAGAGAGCGAGAGAGAGAGAGAGCGAGAGAGAGAGAGAGCGAGAGAGAGAGAGAGCGAGAGAGAGAGAGAGCGAGAGAGAGAGAGAGCGAGAGAGAGAGAGAGCGAGAGAGAGAGAGAGCGAGAGAGAGAGAGAGCGAGAGAGAGAGAGAGCGAGAGAGAGAGAGAGCGAGAGAGAGAGAGAGCGAGAGAGAGAGAGAGCGAGAGAGAGAGAGAGCGAGAGAGAGAGAGAGCGAGAGAGAGAGAGAGCGAGAGAGAGAGAGAGCGAGAGAGAGAGAGAGCGAGAGAGAGAGAGAGCGAGAGAGAGAGAGAGCGAGAGAGAGAGAGAGCGAGAGAGAGAGAGAGCGAGAGAGAGAGAGAGCGAGAGAGAGAGAGAGCGAGAGAGAGAGAGAGCGAGAGAGAGAGAGAGCGAGAGAGAGAGAGAGCGAGAGAGAGAGAGAGCGAGAGAGAGAGAGAGCGAGAGAGAGAGAGAGCGAGAGAGAGAGAGAGCGAGAGAGAGAGAGAGCGAGAGAGAGAGAGAGCGAGAGAGAGAGAGAGCGAGAGAGAGAGAGAGCGAGAGAGAGAGAGAGCGAGAGAGAGAGAGAGCGAGAGAGAGAGAGAGCGAGAGAGAGAGAGAGCGAGAGAGAGAGAGAGCGAGAGAGAGAGAGAGCGAGAGAGAGAGAGAGCGAGAGAGAGAGAGAGCGAGAGAGAGAGAGAGCGAGAGAGAGAGAGAGCGAGAGAGAGAGAGAGCGAGAGAGAGAGAGAGCGAGAGAGAGAGAGAGCGAGAGAGAGAGAGAGCGAGAGAGAGAGAGAGCGAGAGAGAGAGAGAGCGAGAGAGAGAGAGAGCGAGAGAGAGAGAGAGCGAGAGAGAGAGAGAGCGAGAGAGAGAGAGAGCGAGAGAGAGAGAGAGCGAGAGAGAGAGAGAGGGAGAGAGAGACAGAGCAGCACTCCAACAGAGTCCTCGTGCTGCAACCTACTCCCGGCCCCAGCTGGTCTGAGGTCATGTGCACACATGTGCCTGGTGTACTCAGGAAGGTCTTTAGATGTGAACCTGGAACCCATTTTTACTGCACCTCTATCTGGCCCACTGATAAAACATTCTGAAAGACAATTAACATGCCATTTTAATGCCTGGTGAATCAATAATACTTACTGAAAATATCATCAAGTACCCAATTCATGTTCAGATTTTGTTACTTATCCACAAAATGTCTTTTTGTTTTTAATCTATTCAAATTAGGGTTGAGACAAGGTCAACAAATTTATCTTGATTTTTTGTTTGTTTGTTTGCTTTTTTAGAGACATTTTTGCTATAGGGTGTGTGTGCTTGCCAGAGAGACAGTGAGACAGAAAGCAAGAAATCACCCCTCTGATTTTAATAACTCTTTAATCACTTTCATACCACAATAGTTTCCACCTTGTTATTCCATGAACAAATTACCTAATTTGTTACCTAATTAGGTAATTTGTTCATGGAATATCCCATGTTCTATATTTGTGTTATTTTTTACAATTATTTTTAAAATGTATACTTTTACCGTACATTACTACATCTTGCAAAATAAATTTGCCCAACATGAACACACTTCCCACCAGTCCAGGTGAAGATATCATATGTGTTATCATCAACCATCCTCCATGTCGGTGTCCCTGAAAAGTCTTGCCTCTCTATTTCTCTCCTTAATTCCTTTCCTCTTACTCTCCCCCATCTCCTACCCTCTTCCCACATTGTCTCCAGTGTCCATAACCATTTTCCATGCCTTCTGTATTTGATTAATTGATCTAGTTGGCTATTCGACTAATTGATCCATTTTGGTTTTTATTAATCCCACTGATTTCTAGTCAACTGAAGTTTTGATTTAGAGATTTGATTATAATAGGTTCAATTCTTTGGTTACAAATACCAATAAATGGAGCTGTGTATTTCCTGTTGTATGACATCACGGGGCACATAATCCTTAGTTGTCCAACTTATTATTTATTTATTTATTTATTTATTTATTTATTTTTTAGAGAAGTTTTTGCTATAAGGTGTGTGCGCTTGCCAGAAAGACGAAAAGAGACAGAGAGATAGAAAATGAGAAATCACGCCCCAGGGGGCATGGCCATGCCACAATCCCTTCTCCTCCATTCTCCTCTTGGGACCTTGGACATGCATGCACATGCGCCCACTGTGAGTTTAAGCCACTGGGTCCGGGACTTGAACTGCGGTCAACTACATGGAAGTCCAGCAACATAGCCATTATGCCAACAGCTGGCCCCTATTTATTTTTTTAATTAAAAAAAAAACCCAAAAACTGCCAGGGTGCATGTGCACTTGCCAGAGAGAGAAAGGAGAGGAAGAAAGCACCCCTAATGGGCCATGGTCACCCTGTAATCCCTTCTCTCCCATGTTTACATCCTGTTACGATTTTGGGCATGTATGTACATGTGCCCAGTGTGTTTTTGTTACCTCGTTTGTTACTTTTTCCAAATTTCAAGAGTCACTTTTCTTTTCTCACTTTTTATTGTTTTTATTTGTACAAAATAGTATACCAAGTTAAAACTCTACAAAAGAGACATTTATAGAAATAGTTCTCTTTTTTTCTTTTTGTAATTTCTTAGTTCTGACTCTGGTGCAGTTGGTAGCATACCAGACTATGGAGCTGGAAGCCATGAACATGTGAGAGAGACAGAGTCAGAGAGAGAGAGAGAGAGAGAGAGATCTCTAATAGGCCCCATGCTGTAATCCACCCCTGGCTCAAGCCAGTCTTACATCATGGATAAGCGCTCCTGTTGTGTTCAGAGAGAAACCTGGATGCGAACCTAGGACCTTTCCATGTGAGTCAGCATTACAGAGTGTCATGTTACGGCTGCACCACTTATTCACTCCCATTTACCGAAGTCTCTAATCCTTGACCTTTTCATTCTTTTGCCTTCGATCTATCTAAAAGTGTGACAATTTTCTGTAGTTTATCTTTTCATTGTTATTATTTTTAGTATATGCTCTCTTTTTTGTTACACACACATAAAAATAGTCCCTTAATATCCTTATTCTTAAATAAAAAAATAGCCTGCTGTTTTATTTATTTATTTATTTTTTGGAGAGATTTTTGCTATAGGGCGCGTGTGCTCGCCAGACAGACAGAGAGAGACATAGAGACAGAAAGTGAGAAATCACCCCCCCAGAGGGGATGGTCATGCCGCAATCCCTTCTCCTCCATTCTCCTCTCAGGATCTTGGGCATGCACGGACACGCGCCCGGCGTGAGTTTTAAGCCACTGGGTCCGGGATGCGAACCGTGGTCGACTACGTGGGAGTTCAGTGACATAGCCATTATGCTAACTGCTGGTTCCCGAAAAATAGCCTGCTGTTTTGAATCTTTCCTTTGTGCTATTAATAATATATCCTAGGAAGGACCAGCAAATGGTGTAATGATTATGTTGTTGGACTCCAATATAGTCAACTGTGGATTGAATCCCAGACCCAGTGGCTAAAAACACACTGCACACAGATACATGTTTCTCTTTTTTTCTTTTTGTAATTTCTTAGTTCTGACTCTGGTGCAGTTGGTAGCATACCAGACTATGGAGCTGGAAGCCATGAACATGTGAGAGAGACAGAGTCAGAGAGAGAGAGAGAGAGAGAGAGATCTCTAATAGGCCCCATGCTGTAATCCACCCCTGGCTCAAGCCAGTCTTACATCATGGATAAGCGCTCCTGTTGTGTTCAGAGAGAAACCTGGATGCGAACCTAGGACCTTTCCATGTGAGTCAGCATTACAGAGTGTCATGTTACGGCTGCACCACTTATTCACTCCCATTTACCGAAGTCTCTAATCCTTGACCTTTTCATTCTTTTGCCTTCGATCTATCTAAAAGTGTGACAATTTTCTGTAGTTTATCTTTTCATTGTTATTATTTTTAGTATATGCTCTCTTTTTTGTTACACACACATAAAAATAGTCCCTTAATATCCTTATTCTTAAATAAAAAAATAGCCTGCTGTTTTATTTATTTATTTATTTTTTGGAGAGATTTTTGCTATAGGGCGCGTGTGCTCGCCAGACAGACAGAGAGAGACATAGAGACAGAAAGTGAGAAATCACCCCCCCAGAGGGGATGGTCATGCCGCAATCCCTTCTCCTCCATTCTCCTCTCAGGATCTTGGGCATGCACGGACACGCGCCCGGCGTGAGTTTTAAGCCACTGGGTCCGGGATGCGAACCGTGGTCGACTACGTGGGAGTTCAGTGACATAGCCATTATGCTAACTGCTGGTTCCCGAAAAATAGCCTGCTGTTTTGAATCTTTCCTTTGTGCTATTAATAATATATCCTAGGAAGGACCAGCAAATGGTGTAATGATTATGTTGTTGGACTCCAATATAGTCAACTGTGGATTGAATCCCAGACCCAGTGGCTAAAAACACACTGCACACAGATACATGTGTGCCCAAGATCCTGAGAGGAGATGAGGAGAAGGGATTGCAGTGTGGCCATCCCCCCTGGGGGTTATTTCTCACTTTGTCTCTCTGTCTCTCTGGTGAGTGCACACACCCTATCGCAAACATATCTCTAATAATAATATATCCTAGGGACCATCATTTCTTTATATATCAATATGTAGAGATATTTTTCATTTCTTTTTAGTTCCATTTCCTCATTATGAGAATATATCGTAGTTTATTTAACCAGGAGCCGGGACTCTTACTGATACCATTTAAAAATGAAAACATACACAATTACAAAACAATCTCTTCTCTCTACCTCTCCCCTTTGTGTCAGCTGGAAATAGTCTCTTTTTATTGTAGCAACTATAGGTAACATAAGTGTCATGGATCTTGCTTCACTGATAGCCTTGAAAATGCCCTCCTTTAGTGGTTTAGAGACTGCAATAGATTGGCTAACATGGATGTTGCTTCTGATACATATTTGGTGGATATGTTCCAAATATTTATCTGGTTGTCTTTTCTAAGCTGATCGCACGTGCCAGTCTGGATACACAAAATGTCAGAATACAAACATTTGCATTCCTCGTGTCTATTTATGTGATGGAGACAACGACTGTGGAGATATGAGTGATGAAAGCCCTACTTACTGCAGTGAGTAAGATAAAACTACTTCTCTTTCTGTGGTTCCTGAGATGCATGACCTTAACTAATAGACAGCTACATAGCCAGGATGTTGGAGCTAACTTCAGTTGTCATCTCAAATTGACCTTGTGAGTAGACGCAGTCGATAGTTGCTATAGGATGTGATTGGAAGATCATGAGAAGCCTCTTCTGTGTTGCCTGCCTACACGCCACATACCTCAAATATTTCTTCCAAAGAACCATTTCTCCTAGTTTTGGAGGCCTTTTGTCTACATGAGTTTCAAGTAGAATTTGTATTTTAATCTTGTTATTTACTCTGAATATGATTATAATGGCAATTAGTAACTGGAAATATTTCCATATCCCTTTAATGTGTTTGAATTTCATAAACCTTTATTTTTTTATGTTTAGAATTTGGATTCCTTTAAGCAATTTTCTGTATTTAGCTCAAATAAAAAGGTTTCCCTGAAGCTTGATAACTTTGAGACTATTAGTGTAAATATATGCATAATTTAAGAATTTAGTAATTGGCTTTCCTTATTATGGGTATATATAGTTAAACTCTGTCATTGGTCCCCTCCCAAGAAAACTGAAGGGTATAGCAATAATTTGTTACCAAGCTAGACTACAGTCTAAGAAGAGGGACCTCTTGTAATCATAGTTGCGTGAGAAAGCAGAATTCAGGACATGGCCATCAGATAGGGCTAGACAGATTGGAGTTATGACTGATTTTTCAGGAACCTGTGCTTTCTTATCAATTTCTCCTCAAAAATCATCAGATATTAGAGGCCATAGCAAGAGAACCTTGCAGACCAGAAAAATTATAAGACCTGATTCAGGTTTGTACCCACATAACTATTTAGGAAATACATCTGACCACAGCTATCAAAGGATGCTTAAGAAAGTAATTGACATTCTCGTATAAGCACAGTCTCCCATTTATTCAAATAAAAGTCCCATTTTGCGAGAATAGATAAGAGGTGAACTTAGCTAATTCTCTAAAATCATGGTTTAACATGGCTAAAACATGGTGTATGAGATGAGCTCAGATATGGTCATATTGTTGTTTTTCCTTTCAGTAATTATTCAATAGAATTTATTTTTGTATAGCAGAAAAAATAGAACCAAGACTTATTTTATATAATTTGTGATTTCATGTATCATAAATATAGTATTTTTGTATTTTTAACATGTAAGATTGATTGGATTGTTGGAATCTAGAAAATAATTCTGGTGTGCTATTGTTTTCCTTCTCTCTCCCATAGTCCTCCTTCTCCACAGAAAACCTGGTAGTGGTTATCCAGGTCAGAGATGTAGGCAAGTTAAGATTGATAGGAATGTGTGTGTGTTTTGCTCATGGGTTTTGTTTTCTTTCCCTCCTCCAGCCGCTCACACATGCAGCAGCAGTGAGTTCAAATGCACCTCTGGGCGTTGTATTCCTCAACAATGGCACTGTGATCAAGAAGCAGATTGTCCTGATGGCTCTGATGAGCCTGCCTCCTGTGGTAAGACAGGAAACAAGCATGAGAGGCAGTAGAATGCAGCCAGACAACCTCCTTATCTTCTGATCTACAGATTAGGGTCATGGCCACTGAATTCTTGTACGCCTTGTTCCTGCTCCCAGGTGGGATGCTGAAACCACACAGCAAAGGTCCTTAAAGACTATTAGTGCAGGGTGCTGTGTGGAGAACTGAGCAGGATGTGGAAATGGCTGGCTGATGCTGCTAAAGCGAGATTATATTGGTGATACACTAAATGCAATGCCTAATTTGTAGAACTCAATTGTCGTTGATTTTGAATTGGAATTTCTGAATTTTGCTTAGCTCTGGCCAATAACACCCTGGGAGGATCTGAAAATAATTGGAATCATAATATATATGTATATATAATCGCGCACGCACATACACACACACACACACACACACACACACACACACACACGGAAGTGGTGTATTATGGACTCACATCCTCTTTCTGTTCTGTCTCTGTGCCAGCTTATGAGGTGACGTACCATAGCCATCTGACAGTCCTGGGAAGCTCTAGGGGCCCTATTTTATTTCTGAATGCAGCTGTACCCTGTTTGTATTTGGAGGCTGCTATTCACCTTTGCAAATTATAACATATATACATGTACATTTAAAAAATATAATTATAAAATTAAAAACATACAGTCTTCCACATTGCCTTTATTTTTTTTTTTTAATTTAACTGCTAGAGGTGTGTAAACTTGCCAGAGAGACAGAATCAGAGAGAGAGAAAGAGAAAGCATCTCCCAGTGGGATGTGGCCATGCTGCAGTCGCTCCTCCATTTCTCCATACTTCTGGGATTTGGGGTACTCATGTACATGCACCCAGCATGTTTCTCAAGCCACCAGGGCCAGCATTCAAACCACAGCCAGCTACGTAATGTATTGTTGATACTCAAAATGTTTGGAGTTTGGGATTAGGAATGTTCATCCTGGATTTGAAGCACTTTGCTGTATCCCCCCTGCCCGCCCCCGCTCCGCTCCCCGCAACCCTCAACGCTGGTTTGTAGAAAGCAAAGGTTTTATAGAAAGCAAAGGGTACATAGAATTTTGAGAATCTATAAAGGAAATAATTTTTAACTTTTAAATAGAATAGTGTTAGATTGGTTCAAATATATGAATTATTGATTCAGATATATGAAGAATAAATACAAGTGTCCAGACTTCTCCATGAGAACCAAAGTCATGGTAGCAACCCTTAGTACCAGTACTTAAATAAAAATAAACACAGAGATTATATGTAAATATAGTCTCATTGTAGTAATTCAAGTAATATATGCATACACACATGCTCACCAGAGAGAGACAGATGGAGAGCAGGAGAAGGAGAGGGAGAATACACCCTCTGATGGGATGTGGTCACGTTGCAATCCCCTCTCCTCCATTTTTTCATCCTGTTAGGATTTTGGACAAGCACGCACATATGCCCAGCATGTTTTTCAAGCCACTGTGCTGGGATTCAAACCGTGGTTGTCTATGTGAGATCTGGTTTCCTTAATCACCAGGGTATGCAGCCAGCTCTACAAATTATATTTTAAAGAAATGACAAGATACATACAAAAAATGGGGCTTTTGGGCCAGCAGGTGGCATGGTGACTAAGGTGCTGTTGGACACTCCCACATGGCTGACCATGGTTTGAGTCCTGGACCTGGTGGCTTGCTTTCTCACTTTCCTTCTCTCTGTGTGTCTTTCTCTAGTCAAATGAAAATAAATGAATAAGTAAAATTAAATAAATAATTCCTTAAAAATGGGGCTCTTATCCTAGTCACCAAAGATAATTAGGGCTTTGCACTGTCAATCAATAACTTTAATCTCAAACCATGGGTCACTTGTATGAAATTCATCGGAGGTCCTACCCTAACTGTATACAACTAGGTAACGCTCAGTTTCAAATTTCCCGAACAATCCATGCTATAGCTAACTTCTGTCAAGTTTTCTGGATTATAAACCATTCTTCACCAAGAGTTCTTTTTGTCTTTTTTCAGTACACCATGAGCAAACATGCCTAAGTGATGAGTTCAAGTGTGATAGTGGAAGGTGCATCTCAAGAGAATGGATTTGTGATGGTGATAATGATTGTGGGGACATGAGTGATGAGGATGAAAGGCACCATTGTGGTAAGTGAAGCCAGCTAAATCCTTTGTAGAGTCATATTACAGGGAAATGCACTGGAGTATTGTTGTTGTTGTTGTATTTGGAGTCAGATTGTCAGGTAAACTTCTCTTTAAATGAATGCACACTGATAGATGTTACCTTTCTTTTTTTACTCTGGATTGTCTGATATCATCCACATAACCACCATAAAATGATGGAAAATGGTTTTATGTTTATTTTTTTCCTTATGCGTTTGGCTAATGAAAATAATGTCCTTCCTCTCTACAGTAGATAGAGAACTTGGCTGGCTACTCCTACAGTGTAACATTTAACTGTACCCCCAGTTTCATCTATTACTCTAGAGCTATATTTGGGGCTGGAACACCATTTCTATTACCACCTGGCATGGAATTCTTAGCTAAGGTGTCTTAGAAGAGTGTCTTTCCATGGCAGTACAGTAAAAAAGAATGGCTCCCTAATGTTTGCATTTGAAGGTAACCTTATATGAGGGGACATTAAAAAGTTCATGGGAGGGACCAGCAGTTAGTGTAATGGCTATATCGCTGGACTCCCATGTAGTCGACCGCGGTTCGAGTCCTGGACCCAGTGGCTTAAACTCACGCCGGGTGCATGTGCGTGCGTGCCTAAGATCCCAAGAGGAGAATGGAGGAGAAGGGACTGTGACATGGCCATCCCCCCTGGGGGGTGATTTCTCGCTTTCTGTCTCTCTGTCGGTCTGGCGAACACTCACGCCCTATAGCAAAAACCTCTACAAAAAAAAAAGAAAAAAAAAATTCATGGGAAAGTGGAATTAAAGTATGAGTTTATTATTTTTTTTATATTTATTTATTTATTTATTTATTTATTTATTTATTTATTTAATTTATTTTTGGAGAGGGAGTCCAGCGACATAACTGTTACACTAACTGCTGGTCCCAGTATGAGTTTATTTTGATGAAAGCCCATTGAAATACATGTATAGTTTTTTCATAATATGCATTTTCCACAAGCCTTTTGAAGATTCCACGTGTGTCAGTGATTTTGTTGGTGGTCCGTAGGTTCATGTATACTCTGTCTACTGAAATGGATAGTTGGCAGTTAAATGTACATGTTTTGTAGCATACCCTTTTCTCATGACTCCCTTTACCAGGAACTCCCTTCTTTTTTCTCCTACTCACCCACATTGAGATTTGATAAACTATACAACAGGTATTAATATTTATATATATTATTATATATATATAATATATATAATAGGATATATTATCCTACAGGTATTAATAATTCTTTATCAGCATCTTATCTCTTCACAGCATGATGCTTCTGACATTTCTTGTGATGTATGCCACTCCTATCCACTGTAATAAAACTTGGCACAGTTGTTCTAAAGTAGTTGAAAACACACCAAATTTTGGGGTAGAAGGACCTAGGTTTGCAACTCCAGCTCTTTCTCCTTTTAGTTTTGTGACTTTGAGCCATTTAGGTAACTGGCATAAAAATACTTATTTCCCATTGTGCTTGTGTAATCACGTATAAACTAACAAATGTTATCAAAATGTAAAGCATTTGCTATCTGAATAACAAAAGAGGAGTGGTTTTCTGAAGCCCTAAATGAAAAAGTAGGATCTTACATTTATTTTATGTAAAACTAAGTGAAGTGTTTTATGTTGATTTTTTTCTGAAAGATTTAGGAACTGTTGGGGGCATTTTTACTGTGATCTGTCATTACTATAGCAGTGTGACTTGTCTACTTGTTATCCTCCCATTTCTTTGCAGTTGTCAGGATGTTAAGTATCTTAAAGCAAGAACTTGGCTGTTGCAATGAGCTCTTGTAGGGTTTCTAATTCTTGTATGCCTTGATTTCAGAGAAAAGGAATTGCTCGAGATCTGAGTTTTTCTGTATAAATAGCAGACCTCCAGCCAGGAGGTGCATTCCCTTAAGCTGGGTCTGCGATGGTGATGCAGACTGTTCTGATGCCTACGATGAACATCAGAATTGTACCAGGAGATCTTGTGCTGAAAATGAATTCACTTGTGCAAACGGGCTCTGTATCCTCAACTCATTCAGGTGAGATGAGGATTTAAAAATTTCCCAGCAGGATGAGCAGATGGTGGTGGGTGGTTCAGGCTGGATTCCACATAGCCTACTTTGCAGTTCAAGTCCTAGACCCAGAGGCTTAAAAACACACTGGATACATGTGTGTGCATACCCAAAATCCTAAGAGGAGGATGGAGAATGGATTGGCATGTGGTCAACCCCCGGGTGGTGATTTCTCATTTTCCCTCTCTCAGTGTCTTTCTCTAGTGAATGTACATGCGCTCCAGTAAAAATCTAAAAAAAAAAAAAAAAAAAAAAAAAATTCCCAGCAAACCTTTAATGTCCATGGGCACAGGGCTGACTCATCTATTAGACAAAGTGACCAAGGTGTCTAGGGCCTGTGGCACTTCTGGTGACTGGGAAAAATGTTTAGATTTCTTATAAAACCAAAACCAAACGAAAGTTTTAGGTCAAAGAAAGTATTTTAATATGTAATATTAATGCATCTGCCTTTATAACAGTGTAGTAATTAAATACAATATTTTTAAGGTAGAAAGGGCTCAAGGAGATAAAAGTGCCCAGAATCCATGAAAGACTCCTTGCTCACAGGGCTAAGGTGATCAGTGAGGTGGTCTTGATAGAAGGACATTCTTTCTTGAAGCTGATGACATGTGGTTTTCCACTTAGAGGCATGGATAAACGAAATATTTCACTTTGCTCTCTGGAGTCCTATCATTTATAATTATAGCACTCACCTTCTGAGTTTTCACTTGGGTATGGACACTCTCTCATATGACTTCTTCAGAGATTACCAGTGCCCATAAAGTGCCTCATTATCTGATGAATGCATTTGATGAACTACAAAAGTTATTTTTAATTAACTTATCACCTAGGGAAAAAGGAATGCAATTATTAGCTTTGGACCCACATTTCTTATGGTAGTAACCAGCACCTGGGGAAATGGTGGGAATATAAAATACTGGTTTATTCTAGAGTTGTAGCTTGATTGGGTGGATGAAGATTCTTGGGGAAAAGGGACTATAGACATTGGTGATCTTGTTACTGAAATTGTCAAACCAGCATTCAGATAGCTAGAAGAGGAAGCAGAGCCCCAAGTGGGCAATAACTGAGACTTGTCAACCCCTCCAATAGTGGTACTGGGTCTCTAACTCAGGTGTGACTGGCGCAATGACTGCGGTGACTTCAGCGATGAGAGGAACTGCTCATACCCCACCTGCCATGAGCATCAGTTTACCTGTCAGAATGGGCGCTGCATTAATGAGGCCTACGTCTGTGATGGACAAAATGACTGTGGAGATGACTCTGATGAGCTGAGTCACCTGTGCCACACCCCAGAAGCCACATGCCCACCTCACCAGTTCAAGTGTGACAATGGGCACTGTATCGAGATGGTAAAAGTCTGCAACCACCTGGATGATTGCTCTGACAACAGTGACGAGAAAGGCTGTGGTGAGTATAATAGAAGATTTGGGAAAATAAGAAAGGCGAGATCAAATGTAGATAATCAACCCTTTATGACTTATCAAGACTTTCTACTCTATCTTTGAAGGAGAAAAATGCCAGAAAATTCCTATCGGCAAGGATTTCTTGGTATATAAGGTAGTACACAAATTCAATTAGACAATCAGAAAGAACAGAAGATGAACAAATGCTAAAGCCATCATTTAATAGTATTGCTAAATAAGGTGTCCAAGAATGAAGAGAATGTTGTTGATTGTCTTTGAATCCTTAGAATATCTTGTTGGGATGGACTCTTCATGGATTACTCAGTGCATGAAGTAATTTTTAATCTGTTGCTTCTTGCTGAATAGAGAACGTCCTTTCTTCCCTGTTCATGTGTGACAGGGCCAGCCAGAGGTACCGCCAGTGTTCAGTGTATGCTGTCTGGTGAGAGGCACATGTGTGCTCTTTCATGGCTCCATGCTCAGTGGCATTACACTGATAGCTTGAGGTTGGCTACATGAGTAGTCACACCAATAAAGTAGAAGACACTGTGAATCAAGAGCTTTAATTTTTTTCTCAGAGACCTGTTTTCCCAGCACACTGGCCAGGCACTTTTCTTGTCTTTATCCTGTATACATCCATTTTAAAGTTCTTGGTGAAGAGGAGATTGGTGGTCAGCTGTGGTGGCTCAGTGATAATGTGATCCTCCACAATGACAAAGCCATATGGAAAGGTGCTGCAGTCTCCCTCTATGTGCTGGGTGTGCGTGTGCATGTTCATGATTCTGGTGGCTAGAGCTTGGGGTGGTTGTGGTTTAAAGACTCCCTTGAAGGTGTCTCTCTCCACCCCACCTTATGGAAAAAAGAAATAAGCTTAAAAAAAAGAGAGAGAGAGAGAACAGTGCTAGGTATAGGATTAGAAGTCAAGTCAGTTGTATTAGTTGTTAAAACCACTGGTGAAGGATTGAAATGGGGAAGACATGCAAAAGTCATGATTTTTTAAATAATCCACTGCCTTTGAGAATCCCTCATTGTGTGTCATCTTGCAGCATGATTAATTAAGAATTGGCACCATCCAGTAGGAATTTTTACTTTGGATCGTGATGGTGGGTCTGTGGATGACATTTTAGGTTTTCTGATAACTGTCTTTTGCCTACAGGCATCAACGAGTGCCAAGACCCTTCAATCAGTGGTTGTGATCACAACTGCACAGATACCCCAACCAGTTTCTACTGTTCCTGTCTTCCTGGTTACAAGCTTATGTCTGACAAGCGGACTTGTGTTGATATTGATGAATGCAAGGAAACACCCTTTGTCTGTAGCCAAAAGTGTGAGAATGTAGTAGGTTCCTACATCTGTAAGTGTGCTGCAGGCTACATTCGAGAACCAGATGGAAAGACCTGCCGGCAGAACAGTAACATCGAGCCCTATCTCATTTTCAGCAACCGTTACTATCTGAGAAATCTAACTGTGGATGGCCAATTTTACTCCCTCATTTTGCAAGGCCTAGGCAATGTTGTGTCATTAGATTTTGACCGGGTAGAAAAGAGATTATACTGGATTGACATACAGAGGCATGTCATTGAGAGAATGTTTCTGAATAAGACAAACAGGGAGATTATCATAAATCACAGATTACCAGCTGCAGAAGGTCTGGCTGTAGACTGGGTTGCCAGGTAAGAAAACACTGATAAACTTTTGAAAAGTTAAAATGTAAAAAAAACTAGAATTATATTTTCCTCTTGATAGGGTTTAATATGTGGACACATTTAATATTTCTATATGTTTTTTTCTGCTTCATACTTAAGACTCAGACACCATGAGACCTAAACTCTAGTGATTTTAAGAATTTGTGGTATTATTTTTATGAGGTGGGGCATCACAAAGGAGGAAAGAGCACTGCTATTGCTGATCGTTCAGTTAAGTGGAGACGCAATGAAGGGATGATCCATTGGTTCAGTTGGTTCATTCAGCCATTTAAATATGCTTCCTAATCGGGCCAGCAAGATGGGATGGTGGTTAAGATTCTGGATTCCCACAGGGTCAACCACACAGTTCAAGTCCCAGACCCAGTGGCTTGAAAACTCACACCTGATATGTGGTCAAGTCTCAGACCCAGTGTCTTGAAAACTCACACATGATATGTGGTGTGTGTGTGTGTGTGTGTGTGTGTGTGTGTGTGTGTGCACATGCCCAAAATACTGGAAGAGAATGGAGAAGAAGGGATTGCGGTGTGGCTATCATCTCTGGGGGATGATTTCCACTTTCTCTCTCTCTTTCTGCCTCTCTCTGGTGAACCCATGCATCCGATGGAAAAAGAATCTAAAAAAAATCCCAAAAACCAAATAAACGAAAAACTTCCTGAGTAGCCCCTACATGCAATGACAGTAGATATCTGGAGGTGACCAAGGCCGACATGGCCCTTGCTCTCCTGGAGTCCACAGCCTTGTTTACAATTGCTAGCCATTCCCGGCCTGGGCTGGTCATGAAGTTGAGAATGGCTACCCTGAAACTCTTTCCTGATAGAAACTGAGGGCTTTTAAGGGAAACCAGTGATAGTTTAAAACTACCAGGTGAAGCACACTTCTTAACATCTTACTGAATATTTAATTTATGAGATACTTGGCAGCATAAACTGGTATATAAATGCCTGTGACATTTATAGTAGGCATTTATGCTATAGATGTTCTCACTGGAGTCAGCCCAGACTTCTAGAGGGCTCTTCCTCACACCCCCGTTTCTCCATCTTAAAGGTGAAGATTATAAACTGATGGTAGTGGGAGAGTTTGCTCCCTAGTTCTCCCTGAACAATAAGTGTTTGCTAAATAACAAATGAAACATTGACTACATGAAAACAGTATTTTAGGTATAGGGCCTCTACTATGTGTGAAAAAGTATGGTGATTCATGATTTCCAGGAACAGGTCTAACCATAGAACTGCTCCTGTCCCCATTCTTTGCTGTAGTACAGGGAAATCTAATATTTTAACTCCATTCCACCCTCTCTCTCAAAAATTGGGAGAATAATAGTGCCATGCTCCCCCCCGCCCCTCGGATTTCAGCTACTTTCCTGTCTATCTGGGCATTTTTTTTTTTTTTAAGAGAGGTTTTTGCTATGGAGTACGTTTGCTCTCCAGAAAGATAGAGAGAGACAGACACAGAAAGTGAGAAATCACTCTCTGGGGGGATGGCCACATCACAATCCCTTCTCCATTCTTCTCTCGGGATTTTGGGCACATACACGCCCGTACCCAGTATGAATTTCAAGCTGCTGGGTCCAGGACTCAAACCACGGTCGACTACGTTGGGAGTCCCACAACATCACACCATCTGCTGTTCCCTTGGTGTGTTCTTGACTAGAGGAGAGATTTACATACATGTGTAGTAGTGAGAAGGATGCAGCAAGAAAGTCTGGGTAAGGGTAAAATTTCCCGTCTGAGGCCCAGGAAGAAGCACAACCATTCCTTAAAGCATGAAGGGAGAGTAGAGCCCAGTTACATGTATGTTGTTAGGGAACATTGCTGACATAATAACTAAGTTAGAAACATATCCCTTCAGTATTTCTGCTCTTAACACAAGAGTGTTTGGTTAATGAACAGGAAAGCAGTCAGCTCAACAGAGTAAAGTGCCCCATGGCTAGCTGGTCTACCAGGACTTGAATTCCTGCTCTACCATTTAGTAATTATACAACCTCAGGACCTCAGCAGTCTCAGCAAGAAAACAGGAATAATAATAGCAACTTCTTTGAAGAGTGTTGTGATCTTAAGTAATAAAACATTGGGTCGCTGAGAAAGTCATGACACATTTTTGCATTAAAAAAACAAAGAAAAAATATATCATGATTTTCCTGATGACATAATATTTTAAAACGTCCCTGGTCTAGGGCCTGGCATTTAATTAAGTGTCCAATAAATGGCTATTATTCCTATTCTTAGCCTCTACAATAATGGACTTCAAGAATGTGACCACCTCATTCAGAAAAAATTTACCCAAGTGAATTAACTGGCAATTTAACCAGCAAGGCTTGTACATTTATACATACTCATTCTCTCATCCACAAGCCTAAACAGGTGTGACAGACCTAACAGCTAAATATTCTGATATGTACCATGGTTGGATCAGAACTGACCTCTTGAAAAGAGGCATTTAAGCCTTTTCAGAGGGAAAATCATTCTCCTTCCAGTTGTAATTGAGTGTCCAGTACTAAATGACCTTCCTATTCTAGGGGCATTGAACTCTTTGGAATGTTATGGATACTTTAAGATTCTGGTGAAAGCTATGAATGCCTTGCTGGATAACTCTAGAATGAGATGTGACCCCAGAATTTTCTATATGACAATAACCTTTAAGTGGGAATTGTAACTCAACCTCTTGCATCTTGCTGGATATATGCATTTATATTCACACAATTTTACACTGATTTTAGAGGGTTCCCACCCCCCTCAGCTTAGGCTTCCCTGACACCAGATTAAAGATCTTAGGGTAAGAACACCTGCCTTGTAGGAAAGCATGGGTTTTATTGCATAGTATTAGGTTATTGGGAAAGTCATGACATATTTTTCTTTGTTTTCTATGCAAAAATAAGACTTTCCCAACAACCCAATAATTTATAATATATAAAATTGAAATAGCCTGAGGTAAGCGTTTCTAACAGATTCTAGTACATTTCAAAAGCTTCTGAGGTTTGAAAGTAAAATGGATTACAGGGTATAAAACTCACTTGCCATTCTAGTCTTACAGGTTGAGGACTGGGTAAAGCTGCTCTTGTTCTTAAAGATGTCATTATAGTTTCCTTGTGCAGTTGTTGACAAGCCTGTTTCCTCAACTCCATTATGTAGACTATAGTTCAGGACAGTCACTTTTTTTTTTTATTCTTATATATTTTTTAAACATTTGATTGCTCTACATCATTTGGCTTGTAAAGAGACTTTGCCCAACATGAATTACATCTCAGACCAGCCCCGTTGAGAATACTATACACGTTACCATCAACGAGTAATAAACCATTTCTGTGCAGGACAGTCACTTCTGCTTCCCTGTTCTAAGCTTTTGCATTGCCTGGAAAGGATGCCTTATACTTCATGAGGAAAGTAAAACTAGACTTCTAGAGTGAGGTGTGACCTCCAGAATTCTCTATGTGACAATACTTTTAAGTGTTAATTGTAGCCCAACTTCTTGCATCTTCCATTTCTTTATTGAAAGAAGCCAGCCTCCTGTTTCTCCTGCTCCTCATTTACCTTGGGGAAATAAGCCTTCTATCATCTGTCTGTGATTCTCAGGTAGCTTGGATAGGAATTGGGTGGCTAAATATGAACCATTTCACAAAGCGACTTAATCAGTAACTCCTGGCTTTCCATTTTAGAAAACTTTATTGGGTGGATATCAACCTGAATTCCATGTTTGTCTCCAACCTTGATGGTGGATACCGCCGCACTCTGGCCCAGCACTGTGTGGATGCCAACAACACATTCTGCTTTGATAATCCCAGAGGAATTGCCCTTCACCCTCAATATGGGTATAGTCTCCCTGAGGTCTTGAGCTTTCCTTTCATGCACTTATTTCACCTCTGTTCTGAAAAGGCTGTTCACATAACTATTTCCTGGCCAATGTCTTGCTGGAACTTATCTTC